GGAAATCAGAAGCAAATCAACAAGAACTCAAAGAAGGGATACACATAAACCAATCGAGAAGGTATTTCTAAATCATAACAAATGAGAGAAGGTACTTCCCATTGTTTGTTACTCACCATATCTACATAACTATGAACTTCGAATAATGTTTTTTCTCTCATTTGATTTTTTTATAAAAATTATAATAATAACCTCATAAGGAATATTTACCAATTTCCTTTGTACTCTTTTAATACTTTTATAAGTTAATGTATTTGTTTACCATCATTGTTTACCATACTTGTTTAATGCAGTCCACTTATGTTTTATTTTTTTATTTTTTATTTATATTATATTGAGTAGCAATTATACGTTCCTCATTGTCAACTATATTTTAATTTATTAATAGAAATCAAATAAAAATGGCTTAGTTCCCAACAATTATGTTTTAATTATCTTCAAAATATCTTTAACATTTGATGCGGTGCAGACATTAGTTTATGTTGCTTCATCTATCTTAAAGATGAACAAATCTCAATGGTATTTCTAAATATTTTAAAAATGTCTTTAAGATTTGATGTGGTGCGGACATTAGTTTCTGCTGCTTCATATGTCTTAAAGACGAATAAATTTTAATTATATTTCAATTATTTTAAAATCTCTTTGAGATTTGATGCGGTGCGGACATTAGCTTCTGTTGCTTCATCTTTTCTCAAAGTTAATAAAATTCTATCGACATTTCAAATCAACTAAACCAACTCCAATTAAATTTCGAACCTGAACTACGTAACCTTAATTTCCCTATTGCACTTAGGAATACGTAGGAGCAAGATGAACTCTTCTCAGATACAACAATAAAAAACAAAATACTTTGTTTTTATTAGTGAATTTTAATAAATAATTTTAAAGGTATAAAAGTCCATGTTATTAGCGAGGGTACCGTTTTAAAACGGGCGGACGGGGTGCTAATACCTTCCCCAGTCCGTAATCGACTCCCGAATTCATAACTCTGGTTGAAAATACCATTTATCCAATTTGGGCTCAAATTGAGGTTTCCATGTTTTAACCGCAAAAAACATGGTGGCGACTCTGAAAGAGGTTGCGTAGCTGAAAATCGGAGCGCGACAATAATCTTACTTCCAACCTCAGTTTGTTTAACAGATAATTCTAATTTCAGTTTATTTTTATGTTTTTAGAATATTGTTAGTTTAGTCTTAGTTTCAAACTGTTGTTAATCTTTCCTTATTATTATCTTTATCCTAGCATAACTTTATGAGGTTGTTTTATTTAGTTGTTACAACAACCTCATTTCCTTATTATTATCTTTATACTATCATAACTTTAGTAGATTGTTTTGTTTATTTATTACAACAACCTCATTTCCTTGTATTACTTTCCTATAAAAAGGAAGTCATTACTAATTCAATAAAATAAGTTGAATTGTTTATATTATATGGTATCAGATGAATGATCCATCCCACCATGTCTTTTGAAAACATCATCATCCCTAACATCCATGATCATTCCAAACCCTTCACCCATATTCAAGTCCACAACACTATCAAGCTCAACTCCACTAGCTATGTTGCCTCGAAAACTCAACTTCAAGCCACCTTACTTGGATATGACCTATGGAAATATGTTGATGACTCTTTTCCTTCCCCACCACCATATGTAACTGTAAATACCCGATTTTGTCCGACCCAAAAAGAAACATACTTTATCAAAAATGACATTTTTTAAGTGCCTCAAATGATAATAAAAAATCAAATTCGTTTATTTTAATTAATGATTTTCTTTTAAATTTCAAGCTTTTGATTTATGTGTCATAAATGTTAAGAATCAGATTTTGATTATGAATTAAACAAAAAATAATTAATTTCCACCCTTGATTCTCTCCCATGAATTAATTGGATGATTATATTCCATTAACACACGTGTCAAATGTGTTGTCATAACTAAATAGGCTATATACATACACAAAGGGGGAAAATGCTTTGGTAGAGGAGAATTCAAAGAAAGAGAAATAAGATAAGAGAGTGCAACAACCATAGTATATTACAAGTCATACGCATAATTCACATCACATAAATCAATTTGTTTATTCACAACTTATTTCTTCACTCTCTCTTCCAAATCAAGATACATCACACAAAATAAAGTGAAGGTAACAACAAAGTATCACATAGCTCTTACCAGGTAGTGGCATTCTTCTTCATTTAATCTGGTGATGCTCATCTTATGCATTCAATTCAAGCGCATATATGTATATTTGTTTAAGAGAATGTAAACAATGCATCGTGATAACTCTAAAATCAATTTTATTCCCTTTGTCATTGTCGAACCATATTTAAACCCCTTCGGCCAAACTATGGCAATAAGAAGAGGGGGTAGACTTTCCCCTCTTTTCCAGAGATCACCACCGCATAGAGGAATTGTGAGTCTCGCCGGAAATAGCATACATGAGTGTAAGGACAAACGGGAGGTTATGGATAATAAAATAAAAAAGAAGAGGATGATGGAAAACCAAAAAAAGAAGAGCGTGTCTACCCGTTTTTCGGAGACCACCGCCCGCCATAGCTGTCGCTGAAGATGGAGAAAGAAAGGAGAACATGGGTTTCTCTAGGGATTTCAATCTCATTTCTCATTTCACATTTATTTTGGTTTTTACTATTATTTGTTTTATATATTCATTTATACTCACTTATTTAAATTACATGAAATCATGATACTATAAAATTCAATACATTGCTTCTATTTATCTTTATATGTATAAGTTTATAATGGATTTATTAACAAGATAATAAAATTAAAGATTTTTGGATTCTTAAGTGTATTACAAACTAGTTTTAACTATTATAATCATTTTAAAATCTTCTTTAAGATTTGATGCGGTGCGGACATTAGCTTCTGCTGCTTCATCTATCTTAAAGATGAATAATTTCAACTATCTTTCAAAAATGTCTTAATTACTTTAAAACATCATTAAGATGTGATGCGATGCAGACATTAGCTTATGCTACTTCATCTATCTTAAAGGCAAATAAATTTCAATTATATTTTAATTATTTTAAAATCTCTTTGAGATTTGATGCGGTGCGGACATTAATTTCTGCTGCTTCATCTTATCTCAAAGTTAATAAAATTATATCGACATTTCAAATCAACTAAACAAACTTCAATCAATTTCCAAACCAGAACTACGCAGTCTTGATTTCCCTATTGCATCTAGGGATACGTAGGAGCAATATAATATCTTGTCAGACACAAAAATAAAAAATAAATATTTTGTTTCAATCAATGAATGTTTAAATAATTTTTAAGGGTATAAAAAATCTATGTCATTAGCGAGGGTACCGTTTTAATACGGGCGGACGGGTGCTAATACCTTCCTCAATCCATAATCGATTCTCGAATCCATATCTCTGATTAAAAATACCATTTTTATCCAATTTGTGCTCGAATCGAGTTTTCCATGTTTTAACCGCAAAAAACATGGTGGCGACTCCTAAAGAGATCGCGTGGCCAAAAATCCGGGCGCGACAGTAACTAATGACAATGGTGTCTCAACTGCAAATCTCGTTGCTCTCTCATGGTTTTGCCAAGACCGTTTAATATTCGGTGCTATTGTTAGCACACTATCCCATGACATTGTTGCCCTTATTTCACAAACTATGACAACAGAGGAAACATGGAACGTGCTTGCTACCACATATGCTAACCCATCCCGATGCCATTCCAAGCAGATCAAAAGCCATCTTAGCCAGATTACTCACTCTACACAATCCATCACCTCTTACATGTAATCTATTAAGCGGTGCACTGATTGTCTTGCTTCCATGGACAAACCAATGGACCATGAAGATATTATTGAAAAGGTACTATCCGGCTTAGACTATGGACAATATAAATATGTTATTGATGCAGTCAATGCTCGTGATACTCCCATTACCTTTGAAGAGCTACATGAAAAACTCATCACCAAATACAACCTCTATTAAGGCTATTCCCTCCAACTTTCCAGCCACTGTCAACACTGCTCAATATCATGCCAAGTCCCCATCTTCTCATGGTTCTTCGCAACAGCAAATCTATCAACTTGCTCATGCACCTCGACAATAACGTCCTTATCTTGGCAAATGTCAATGGTGTAGGGAACAAAGTCATTCTCTCAGTAATTGTCCTTCATTCAAGGGCCGATTTCCTACTGTTCAAGTGCCTGCTACTCTCCCAAATCGTGCTATGCAAAAGGGATATCAAGCGCGTGCTCATGCACCACAAGAAAATGTTGCTACTGCCATCATCCTCCATCAAATGCTTGGCTTCTTGATAGTGGTGCCTCTCACCATGTTACAAATGACCTCTCAAACCTATCACTTCATGTTCCCTATGACAACACTGAAGAACTAATGATAGGAGATGATTCGACACTACCAAAACACATGTTCATTTTCTATTTCAACTTCTTCTACAAAATTCACATTTTCAAATGTCTTGCGTGTTCCCTCCATTTCTCGCAACATTGTATCAATCTCAAAATTTTACCAAGAAAATAACACCAGTATTGAATTCTTAACTTCTTTCTTTCGTGTCAAGGAGCTTTCTCAGGGTCACACTATATTCCACTGTCCAACTACAGATGGTGTTACGAGTGGAGCCCACAGTTACCTTATGCATTTCACTTCAATTTGTTTAACATATAATTCTAACTTCAGTTTGTTTTTATGTTTTTTAGAATATTGTTAATCTTTTCATATTATTATCTTGATCTTAGCATAACTTTAGGAACTTTATGAGGTTGTTTTGTTTAGTTGTTACAACCACCTCATTTCCTTATTATTATCTTTATCCCAACATAACTTTAGGAGGATGTTTTGTTTAGTTGTTACCCCAACCTCTTTTCTTTATATGTTAATTTCAAATTTCCACTCTAATGTGTCTCTATTATTGTAAGTTCTATATTTGATGGAACCTATTGACGAGGTTGTCATTCAGAACCTACAGACGTACATAGAAAATAAGTTTGTTGATAACAGCAGGGAGGAATTGGACTTGGGCTTGTCCTTGTTTTTACCTTCTGTGATATGCATAAATGTTATATCCTCTTAAGATTTGGAATTTAGATGTGGTTCTCATCTAGTTTCCCCTTATACTAACTTTAATGACCTTTTCTTCATATTAATGAAGGCACTAGCCCTTGGAGACACTGTAAGTTTGAACTCATATGGGGAAGGAGAATATTGGAGGTTAACCCATCTCAATCCACTATCAAAGATTTGAATATAAGGCTCTTGTATTTAGTTCTGATTAGATTATATTATAACATATTTTAGTTCCTATGGAAACATGAAGCACTTTAAGAAGGTTGTGAGCATCTTTTCCAAATATGTATTATCTTTGTGGGGAATGTAGGAGTATTTAAGCTGTTGATAACTCGTTTAGTATATTTATGTCAGAATTGGAGTGTTACACGTATCACTCTGGTCAACTACGTTTATTTTCTATAATTTTTTTTCTTCTAACTCATATCAATGAAGTAGAGAGAACAAACAAGTTCTTTACTAATTCAAAAAACTATTGAGGGCAATATTTACTTTGTCCTTCAAATCATTTTATAGGATTATACGTAGTCTTTGTTGTTTTTTCTTTGCTAGAATTTCCAAATACTTGTAACTGAAATTGCTTGCAAAAACAATCTTGTTTAACTATTTTTATTTTATTGTAGGCTGCCAACAAAAAATGCCTCTGACAACACTGATGCTAAGAGAGATGTTGAACTTTTATATGATACAGCTCTGATTTCTAGTGGAGTAAGGACAATATCAATATTGTGTTGTTATTAGTGTTTCATATCAACTATATGCATTTTGCTTGACATAATTTAGAGATCAATAGGTAATGAAGTAGATCAAATGTAGGCTACTCCAATAGAAGAAGAAAGAGACAAAAAACTCATAGGCAAAATGATTAAGAAATTTAGAGATCAATATTTTGTTATTGAACTTGATTTATGATAGACCATGATGATGTGTTCAACCATGTAGTCGACTCCACCTAGTTAGATAATGACTTGGTTGTTGCAGCCAAACAGTCTGGCTGAGTTGCGATTACGGTAACAGTTGCGGTTACTGCGATTGTGGTCATTGCGGCAGTTGCAATGCGGATTGCGGCAATTGCAGTGTGAATTATTTTGCGTTGCGGCCTGTTGTGACCGCATAATTGTGATTCAGATTCACACTGCAATTGCGGTGTGATGCGATTGTGGCGGTCACCACAACTACAATATTGCAGCCGCATCACATGATGCGGTCCGTAATTTAAATTACGGAGTACATCTTTTGAAGCTTATGCAAACACAGGTGAAGCATCTACAAAGCCAGAAGTTTTTGAACCCTCTAAAGTCAATGCAGAGAGTGATCCGTGGACCACTAATGGAGAGAAAAGTGAGACAGTAGTTAGTACATATGAGTTCATTGTGCTGAAGGAAATTGGTAATATGATGTGAAACTGAATGACTTAAAAGGAATGTGTGCTAGTGAGCTTCCAGAATGTGTTCCAGTTATCATTGATGGGCACAGTTTTGTATTGCCACCCTGAAAATTTGAATAATTACTTGAGATAGATTGGAAAAATTATAATTTGTTTTTTGCCTCCACTCTAATTATTATAATTCTACCACTTTTTTTATGCACATTGACCATATTGCTATACATGCCAAAACAAATGAGAAATAAAAATCTAATATAATTGTGTTGACCACTTTAGTTCATTTTTCAGGAATAGAAGAGGAAGAAAGTTTTGGAGAATGATTAAGTTTGTTGTTGTGCAGTCATTGTGGCTTTTACGGAATGACATCTTATTTTCCAATAGGAACGGTAACTTCAATGAAATTTTGGATTTGATTCAAGTGAGATTGTGGAGATGATTCTATGCTAATATTGATGATGTACTTATACCTTGTCCAATGGTGTATTAATCTTATTATTGTTTGTTTCCAAGAGTTATTATTGTGAGTTCGAGTTTTACCCATAACAAAATAAAAAATAAAGTTATAAGGTGGTTTGATGTAGTGAGAAGAGGTGGAGAGAATGATGTTGAGAGGTGGAGAGAATGATGTTGAGAGTTCGAGTTTCGCCCCACAATAAAATACAAACATACTAACATTTGTTGATAAAAAATTGTGATTATCACCTAGTGTATGTATATGGGTTACCAGTTCTTCTACTCATTAATTATATTCCTTTATGAAAAAAATATGTTAGCATTAAAATCATATATAACCTAACCTAACATTGTGTTCTTATTGTCATGATGGAATATGTTTTTGTAATAATAGTCATTCATTGCCATGAGTCATGACCATATAAGATTATTAAGTGTGAGAAAATCCTAACTAAACGATGAGAAGAATGGATGTGATATGAATGAGAATGAACGTGGAAAGAGAGTTGATCAAAAAGCATAGATGAGTAAACTAGTAAAGAATAGATGATTTACATGTATGTTTGTTCATAGGGATATCATTACCAAATAATGATCAATCTCTAGTTTAATAATCAGATGGCCTCATCAACCTAACAAATTCATATTGCGTTCGGTTCCACATGATAGACCCACCACTCAAGTCTGGGGGAGCCACAAGTAGTTTTTTTGTTGTACTTACATTCACATCTTCATGTTGGTATCATGGTTAAGAGAAATAGAGAATGACCCCACTTGTGTACTTGAGAGGATAATTATTAATTTTACAATAGAAATGTCATTACAATTATATTAAAAGGATAAAAATGTCAGAATCATTACAATTATATTACACTTGTTAGATGCTTCCCGATGAGTATTTAGAAGTACTTAATGAAATCTCAAATTTATTTATATATTTTGTAATAAAAATCTTGTATATAAATAATTATATGTATCTGTTAAATATAATTGACCGAATGGGTGATTGAAAATGGTGACGAAAGAGAAAAATATGAATATTAGATGACTTTTAAGCTTCAATCATATAATTTGTTCAATTAAAAAAATGAATAGATAAATTGAGTGTAACTAAACATATCCCTTTTCATAATCATATATATATATATATATATAAGATGATAGATACATTTACACTTTTTACACTCTATCTATCACAATCATTCATTTTTTTAAATATAACGGACCATAGAGATAAGTGAAAGAGGTGATGAGAGAGAACAAGATGAATATTATATAACTTTTAATTTGAATGATGAGATTGAGCGTAACTAATGTAATTTAATTTGGATCCTTCGTGTATATATATATATATAATTCCAAAGTAATAAAAAATATAATTTATGAATACATAGTTAGCATTATTTTCTTGAGTGTAATATATATACACCGACAATGTAAAGATTTATATATACTAAATATATTATCCGTAATTCATTTGTATTTATTTTCTCTTGATTGTTTTTGTAGATTATTACAAATAACATGTGATTTTCCTTGGTAAAAATGATTTGTATCAAGATTACCATCCTACAATGGCAGCCACTTTAGTTACATAAGATGCAGCAAGCATTGGACGCAGGTTTAAGAAGGGTTTAACTTAAATCAAAATCAGCCACACCCTTTTCTCTTCTCATTCCAATTCCTTCATTTTTTATAGTAAAATTTCATCAAACTCAACCACCATCTTTCAAATCAAACTCTCTCTGCATCTTTCATCTTCTTCAACTTCAATTGCTTTGTTTTAAATTCCAATTACTCACTCAATCCTTCCACCAATGTGGCCACACTTAGCCAAACGAGCTTCCCCAAGAAGAAAGTTCAAGTTACCCTCTCAATCACCTTCTTCTACTACATTTTCTCACCCTTCAATTTTTCTCCGCAAAATAATAACTACCCAGACCAAATCACATGTACCCTCGAGATACCCAGTTCTTGGTTTTGGTAAAGTCGGTGTCTTTACCACAATTAACGAACTGGGTCGATGCAATTTCTCATTTTCTAAATACCCTTTTAGTTTTTATTCGCCTTTGAATCTTACAAAATGTTATTCTAGTGTTGCAGAAGCTATTGAGTCCACTGACACAGAAGAAGAGTGTTCTGGTTCCAATGAAGTTCATAACTTGTTGGAACAAATGGCGAAAGTAGAAAAAGGAAGAGGGAAGGGAAAAGGAAAAGGAAAATCTCAATTGGAAAATGTTGGCCACAAGTACAAAATGCTTAGAAAGAGGCAGATAAAGATGGAGACAGAGGCATGGGAAGAGGCAACAAGAGAGTATCAGGAGCTGCTAGAGGACATGTGTAAGCATAAACTCGCGCCGAATTTGCCTTACATGAAGTCCTTGTTTCTTGGTTGGTTTGAGCCATTGAGAGATGCCATTGTTGCTGAGCAGGAGGTTTGTAAGGAGTGCAAGCATACAATGACACATGCTACTCATTTTAATGATTTACCTGCTGGAATGATGGCAGTGATCACTATGCATAAGTTGATGGGGTTGTTGATGAATAATAGTAATGGAGTGGGCACTACTAGAGTTATTCAAGCTGCACTTCAAATAGGTGAAACCATTGAAAATGAGGTATATTGTAATTTAAGCATTATAAATATATTTGTTTTTCATTTATTGAAATTTGTTGACATGATAATTGAAGTTGGTTATACATGTGAATAAATTTGTTAGTTGAACTGAAGTATGTTCTATGCTTTATATTCTAATATAATAAGTAATAATTTTCCTAGATCATTTGATTTCATGACCGGAGGTGGCTTTAACTTGAAAGCCTTTCGTCTGATTGAAATAATTTGGCAATTTTGCTAGTTTAAGCTAATTTTATGGATGATTCAATCAGTTAGCATGGTTGTACTTAGTATTTCCTCCCTTATGTCACTCAAATGCTAATGCTCTGGCCAAACGGTAAAGGTTATAGTCAATGTAGCTACAGCCACTTGAACTTAATGTTTTATAAACTATGTGGTATGTTCCAGATTTTTGTTTTAGTTAGATGTCACTATCATGAGTTCACAATATTCGAGTGTTTGTTCTCTGAAATTCTATCCTCGTATATGGACCAGGCAAGGATATATAAGTATATGGAAAAGACAAAAAAGAATAACAAGAAGAGCACAACCACTGACAAGCCTGATATTGAATTTGATCACGCAGCCATAGAAAGAGACAATCTAGCTGAAGATCAAACAAAAATGGTCAAAGATCAGAGTAAACTTAGGAAAAAAGTTTCTACCTTAATGAAAAAGCAGAAAATGCAACAAGCAATGGGGATAGTTAGTGGACAAGATGACTGGAAGCCTTGGGGACAGGAATGTCAAGTAAAGGTTTGTTATGTTTGTATCTATGACAGAGATGCTTTTTTCTTCTCACGCTATAGTGTAGCTGTTAATATTCCAGGTTGGTTCCCGCTTGATTCATCTGTTAATAGAAACAGCCTACATACAACCACCCGTCAATCAATTAGATGGTTCACCAGACATACGCCCTGCATTTAAGCACACTCTCAAAACAGTTCAAAATGATTCACAGTGAGTTTGATAGCATTTATATTTAATATCTATTTCATAATTAATTCCATGACATTTAATGTTTTTTGTTTTCTTTCTTTAATTTCTTTTTGCTCGACTAGGAAGGACGTTAGGAGATATGGTGCTATTGAATGTGACCCTCTGGTACATAAAGGCCTAGAAAAGAGTGTAAGTGATCATTTTTCCTCCGGTTATTGTTTGCACTTGAATTGATGTGGACATTTTTAAATTAGGTTAGCACATTTGTTGTGACTCTGTATTGTATTCACAGCATCATATTTGCTTGTACATGTGTAAATTCAATACTTTGCGAGCCTGTTGCTAACTCCAAACTGTGATTGCACTAACAGGCCAGGCACATAGTCATCCCATACATGCCAATGTTGGTGCCACCTATTAACTGGACAGGGTACTGCATATACTTGTATAAATATATCTATTTTTCAATTTGTTATGAATTTCCTTTGAGATTTTTTCTATTCTTGCTTAGTTATTTGGACTTGAATATAGCTAACAACTTTCTTAGAAATACATGAATCATAAGAAGAAATGAAAACATGCCATTACTTTGCTGGTTCAATGTTTAGTGTGCTTGTTTTTTATTAGACCATATTGAGCTACAGCTTCAAATTGATAGTGAACTAAGTCTGTTTTGCTTGCTTATTTTCTTTGAAACATTTGGTAGATTTGACAAAGGAGCATACTTGTTTTTGCCATCTCATGTTATGAGAATACATGGGGCAAAGCAGCAACGCGAAGCAGTTAAAAGGGCTCCTAAGAGTCAACTAGAACCTGTTTATGAGGTTGGGGCATTTTGTACTGTATATGCGTAAGTAGCTCAGTTCAGGGGGCCACTATTCATGTTTGTTGAAAATAATGCTCGCATTTTTTGTATTTAGGCCCTCGATACTCTTGGCTATACCAAATGGAGGATAAACAAGCGGGTGCTTAGCGTGATAGATCAACTATGGGCTAATGGTGGGCGTCTTGCTGACTTGGTCGACCGTGAAGATGTGAGTACCAAAAACACTTCGTTGCCAATTTTATTTGCATGAAATCCAGGGTTCCCTTAAACTTAGCCATTATATGAATGAATCTGATTAATTCAAATAGAGTTGCTTCCAGCACATGTGGATTTCCATGTAGAAAACATGGAAGTAACATTTTTTATGATACACGTGGGTTGGATTTACATTATTTCGATTAGCTTTCATTTTTTTTCATTTGAGTTTTACCTTTAAATGAAAAAAAGTTAGGTTGGTAGTGTCATTTTCAGTGTGTAACTTGTTTGATGAATGGTAGGTGGTCATGATTGAGACCTTACATACAATTAAATGGGTAATGGTTTACTTGATTTGTCTCAAAATTGCCCCGATGAGGTGAACTGCCATTATCACATTAAACATCGTAGATTTTCTATGCATATGTTTAGCTGATGGGCGTTGGTAATAAGGGTGTGTTGCCTTTGTCATATCTGCTTGTCTGAGTTGGTTAGAATTGAAATAAAAATTTCAATGCCATTATTACATTAAAATTTCAATGCATGTTTATGGAAATTTATATGGAGGACATGAGTTGTTTGTATCCGGTGTTTG